GGTAGAAGCCTGAGTGGAGGGAACTGAAGAACGAGTTGGCTTGTGGGTTAGCATGGCAGATGAACCACAAATGAGAAACAAAGGCAATCACTAACTTGATGGAATACAAAAAGCTGTTCTGAGCTAGAAGGGTCATCATATGAACCACATGACTTAGCTCAGAATGTGTGATTGCAACCAAACCAGTAAAGCTCTTCTACCCTTCACGACATCATTGTATGAAGGTGACAGTGAATGGAGGGTACATGGGATGGGGAGGGGTTAACGAGATAAACCTTCTCTTTTAAAAAGATGTCTGAATCAACATTAGGAGTTGAAGCATAGGGAATGTAAGGTTGCAGAAAGTGTGGAAAAGTTGTTTTGGAGAGGAAAACCATAAGGGAAGTGTGGAATGAATGTGGGTTGTCTGGGGATCCATGTGACATGTGAGATGCTGTATTTGAAATGTAACCAGTCAACACAGTAAAGAGACCTTTCCCAACATTTAGAAGGAGGCAGAAAAGGACATTGTGAAGAAATGTCAGTGTGTCACTGAGTGCTCTTAGTGGTGGGTATTGGGTGACAGAGTCTCCCTAGCATCTGCACCCAGATAGAGTTTGGGGTCTTTAATGGGGTCTGGTGTGGGAGGCAAGTCTTAGAATGATGACCCTGGCAGGCATGACTGATGGAAACTGGGATGTCCTGGCCAGTCGCAGGGCTTGTGCCCCTCAGTCATTTCTGCTGAGCCTTTGTTTGAGGAAGTATCTTCTATTTTTGTGCCCAGTGTAGTAATATTGAATTTTCAAGAACTATGCTGTGGACTGGTCCTACGGTTGCTATTTCACCCCTGGATTCTGCTGTGCCCCTTGTTTTGCATGGTAGATTTCTGCACCTGAGTGAAAAGATTCCTGTAAGTCACCTCTGGTCTTATACAAGATCAGTTTTGGGAACTATGGGAGACCATCCAAGGCAGAACCTGAGCCAGTTATATTCTAGCCACCTGTGTTCAATCCTCAGTATGTATGTATGTATGTGTGTGTGTATATATATATATATATATAGAGAGAGAGAGAGAGAGAGAGAGAGAGAGAGAGAGACAATGACATTGATAATATACTATGCTTAATAAACTGCACAATGACCTAGCATTCTTTTCAAGCTTTTGCTTATTAAAGGTTCAGTGTCCACAACAACACTGTGCAGTGGCTACTGCTACTGGAGAAAAGTGAGACATAGAGATTAGTGACCTGCACAACCATGAAGCTCCAAGCAGTATAGTCCAGGTCTGCCCCTGGCCACTGGTCTCTATCGTCCCTAATATGAACTGCCCATGACTTCTTTTTGAAGAATTTTTAATCTCTATAGGGTCATTTCTTTCTTTCTTTCTTTTATTTTTTAATTTGTTCTACATAGTTGTACATGACAGCGGAATGCATTTCAATTCATCGCACACAAATGGAGCACAACATTTCAATTCTCTGGTTGTACATGGTGGAGAGATGCACCTACAAGGTCATTCCTGAAAGGCTTGTGTCAGGCCCTCAGTGTGGCAGGCTCCCTCCTTGTCTACCCCACTTCTCAATGTCCTTGTAGGGTGACTCCACCTATCCCCTGGAGTTTCCTTAAAGCGCCCTCATGCCTGGAGACAGACCAGAGCACACCTGCAGAGGCTGGGCGAATTGGGGAGTGTGCACAGCCTGAGAGGCACAGATTCCCAGCCTGGGTGGGACTAGAGTGGCCCTCCAGTGGCCTGGGGAAGGGGGCTGTAGCCCTTTAGATCTGTCAGCCTGAGGTCAGGGTCACAGCAGCTTTCCTGGGGTCCATTTGTTGTTCCTTCTCTTCCCGCCCCAGGCCCAGAGCTCTCAAGGACCCTGCTCCCACTCTGGCCTGACATGGCACTTGCTTAGGGTCCAGGAGGTGGTAACAGTTGAGGCTGGCCTCTGTCATGTCCCGTGGGGTTGTCCCTGCACCTGTTAACCTTACTGTGCCTGCAGTTCTTGTTCTCCATAGTAGCTCTGAACCCAGGTTTCTTACTGGGAGAGCTGTGGTAAAGGACATGCCACAAAGTTGTCCCCAAGGCCCTCAGTCTCAGGGCCTGAGTCCCTTGCCCCTGCCCCGTAGTGGTGTGGGTGTGGTGGGAGTATCCTTAGCTTCCTCCTGAATCTGCCGTACCCCTTTGGAACATTCCCTTGTGCTTCTGGGACCTTCCTTTGACTCCATGACAGTGGCTACCTTGCCCACGGGGCTGCAGACAGGGATTTCTTTTCTAAAGCCTTTGCACTGGCCACACTGGGTGTGTCTTTCCTGGTCACTGATGCTACTTCAGGGCTCACTGGATGGGACCCCACAAACATGGCTGTCCCCTGCATCACCACTCCTGGGCTGGAGCCTGACTCTACTCCTAACACACCAGCCCCTTAGATCCTTCTGGCCCCACTCTAGGGGCTGTGTCTGGTGCAAGTGTTGTTTTGACCCCCAGCCTCTCCTGGCAGCCAGAATGCTTGGAAATGATTTCCAGGTGACACTCGGTCTGTGCTTCTCTTTGAATTCAGAGTCACAGTTGCAACAGTTTCTGTCACATTGTGGCCAACGACATTGCAGTGGCCTGTACATTTTCTCTCCTTATGTCTGCACAAACAGACCCTGTGTGTCCCCGGATGCCTGAATCACTGCAGATGGTTTGGGACCTAGTGGTTGTGGGAGCCTTCCAAAGGGCTCATTAAGTTCTAGCCTAGTCATGCTAAGGCAGTGGGATAGTTTACTGAGACACCAGGAAAGACACTCAGAGACAGGTTGTGATATATAGGTTGTGGAAAAGTGCTTTTGTGCTTAAAAAAAGGAAAAGGGAACTGCTTTGGGCAAAGGTCCGTGGGTGACATGCCAGGAAGGCAGCATCCCGGACTTTCACAGTGCATTGCCCAGGGATGGTGGCCTGGAAGACCACAGTGCTGGATTCCACACCCAGCAGGAAGAGAGGTCTATAGGTTAGGTCTGAAGCAGTGACAGAGTAACTTACGTTGTCCCATCATAGGGCCAGCATCCCAAGGAGCTTCCTGAATGTCCCAGAAAACAGTTTCTACAGATAGCACTAGTTTGCTGTAGTTTCCCGTGTGTGTGTGTGTGTGTGTGTGTGTGTGTGTGTGTGTGTGAGAGAGAGAGAGAGAGAGAGAGAGAGAGAGAGAGGGAGAGAGAGAAGGAGGGAGGGATAATATCTATATGGACATTCAGGTCGGGCCTGCTTCCAGTGTTCCGTTGACTTGGTAGATTATTGGGAACAGAAAGGGGCGGTTCAGGGACATGGTGTTTTACTGTCCTCCTTTGTTTTAAGAATGACATAGGTGGCCACCAAATCTCCAGTGAGGCAACACTTCGGGACTTCAATAGGCAGCCTGCCAAGGCAGGAGTACACAGCCAACGTGGCACACAGTGCCCCACCCAGTGCCAGGAAGCCCGACACCATGCTGCCTGCCTGCTTCCTTGGTCTGCTGGCCTTCTCCTCCTCTTTTGCCCAAAAGGTGGCAGGAGGGCCATGTCTGATGTGAAACTGCAGCAGGTATCACCGTATTCATCTTAGAGCTGCTGTTAATGAGTGGTACTAAGGACTGGCAGGGTCTAGGAAAGAGGGAATTCTTAGGAGAAGCCAGTCTGGAGGGGAGAGGCTGGGTAGAGGAGGCATGTCTGGGCAGAAGGGCCTCAGAGAGGGTTAGAAAGGATCAGGATGTTGGGTAGCTTGGAAGGGTCAGAAGAGGCTGCCAGACCCTGAGCCCTCCCAGAAAGGGGATGCAAGAAAATAAGAGATGGTAACTCGACTTGGGGCTGGATCAGGAAAAATGCAGTGGGGAAGCTCTGGGCCTGTGGGGTCCTTTCATCCAGAGAAACTGGAAGATTGAAGACTCTATTCTACCTGCAATTCCAGGCCTTCCTTGCCCAACACCAGTTTCTCCCAGCCACAGGTAGCTGATCCCACACACAGATGGCCATTGATTTGAGCCATCTCAAATCTCAAATCAAGCATCTATAAGGAAATTCTGCTGGGTACCTAGCCCAGTTCTTTAGTGCTGTGTGTCCAGCTGATTCCTTTTAATTCTAGCTGTGGCAGAGCTGAAGGAAATCTGATCACCATGCTCAATTCTGCCCAAGCCTCAGTGGGCTCCATGTGGAACTGTAGAATAAGTTAGACTATGCATGTGGGCAACCCCAAAGCCTCCCCACTGGTGCTTAGCTGTTTCAAAGGTCTGAGGTACTAGTTTTGCCTGTCCTCCCCAAGGTTCTAGGCCCTGGAAGCCACCTGGAGGTCTCTAGTAGGGTGAGCATTGGATTATAGACCCAAGTGAGGCCCACTAGGTTGGTGGTTGGTTACAAGGGCAAGGCCAGACATGGGAGGAGGGACCTGTGTGTGCTCTGCATGGCTCAGGGACCCTCTGGAGGAGGATAGGATCAAGTTGGAGTGATGGGACAGGGGAAGCTCTGGATTGGGGGGGGGTGAAGTTCACAGAGAGGTGCACACTAGTGATGGCTCCACAGTTGGAAAGGAAAGTCCCCCTCCTTCTACAAGGGTCTAGGGATGAAGTCTGAGTAATGGGACAGGAGAAGTGGAGGAATAGGGGTGGTGTGGGCAGATGACAGAGGGGTGCACACCAGTATTGGCCCAGAGTTGAAGGGGAAGGTCCCCCTGCTGTAACCCAGGGGAGACCTGTCCCACATTTGGAAGTGAGGATGCTGATAGCTATTCCTGAGAACTGATCATCAAGTCACTAAAAACCAGCTTAGTCCATTTTACCTTTGCCCTTGACCACTGTCCAGATTTGCCTGGTGCAAGCACCTGCACCCCTGAGCCCTGAACCCCAGCATGTGCCCCTTGCACTTGCCTGACCACCTCTCTCCTCCAGCTCAACTGTTTCCATCCCCTGATGGGTTTTCTGTGACCCCAAGGATGGGGCATTGCATGGGGCCCAACATCTGCTGGTCTCATGGGTTTGGCTGCTTTGTGCACACCGTCCAGATGTTGCACTGCTTGGATAAGAACTTTCTGAGGTTGCCCTGTCAGTCAGGCCTGAAGATTTTGGGAGTAGGGACACTGTGATGCCCTGGGCCAGTGTTGCAACTAAGGTGTGCACTTGGGGCAGTCACACAGGACAGGTTCCCACAGGGGACATAGAGATTGAGGCCCCAGAGCTGTGCTCAATCCCAGAGCACCCACACTCATGAGTTCCTTTGCTCAGAGCGCTGTGTGAGTGACACTGGGTACCATGACATCTTTGACAAGTTGCAGGAGCCAATGACTGGACAATGCCACACATCTGCACCTGCCCACAGGTACCTGCTGTTCTGGCTGCTGCAGTTTGTGGGTCACCTGAGTCTCCTGAGCTCACGAAGTCTGTCACCTACTGAGCCACCCCCCCCATCTGCCACCCCCACACTCTGGAGTGGGACCCTGAAGCATGGAAAATAAACCTTTGTAAATGCAACCTAGTGTCTGTCTAGGTCTCTGGGGGAGGGACAAGTAGCTTGCATAATGCATGGACCACTGAGCCTGCCACAGGCAGTTTCAGTCCCCAAAGTGCTGGGCAAATCCACCCCAGACAAGGGGGAAGTGGTATTGGGGATAGCAGAGTCATATATATAAGCCAAAGACAGTGTCACTTGGGCCAGGGGGAGGGGAAAGAGCAGAGGCTTTTGGTGGCTCTTTAGAGAATGGGTTAGGGTAACGAAGTTCTTCCCCAGAGAGAAAGAAGTAATGATGGGGAGAATAAAGAGAGAGGAGACAGGGATGCCAGAAGGAAGGAGAGACATCTAGAGGCGTGGAAAATGACGGTGAAGCCTATACTTTAGCCCATGAGGAAAATTCACTGTTTTAGGTGTAGAGGTCTGTGAGTTTTGATAAAGATATCCAGGGTCCAGCAAATGCTAGGCAAGAACTCTAACACCAAGCTACACATTCTGCTCTTTCTTTAAAAAAAGTTTTTTAAGAAATATTTTGTTTTTTAGATATTGGTGGACACAGTATCTTTATTTTATCTCTATATGGTGCTGAGGATCGAACCCAGTGCATCATGCATGCTGGGCGAGCACTCTACCACTGAGCCACAACCCCAGTCCCCCCCACCCCCATTTTTTTTTTTGAGACAGGATTTCACTACTTTGCCTAGTCTGGTTTTAAATTAATGCATTCAATGCTTTTGCCTCAACCCCCTGGGCAGCTGGGACTGAAGGAAGAGGCTATTGCACCTAGATTTCCTTGTTTTATGGTATAATTTGCATCAGGTGAAATTTACGGTTTTTGATGTAGAGTTCTGTGAGGTTTTTTTTTTTTTTTTGTGGTGCTGGGGTTTGAACCCAGGGCCTTGTTCATGTGAGTCAAGCACTCTACCAACTAAGCTATATCCCCAGCCCAAGTTCTAGGAGTTTTGTTAAACATATTCATTTTAATAATTTTCCAACCATAATCAAATGTAGACAATATCATCCTTCCCCAACCCCAAGCTCCTTGCTACAGCTTGTTCCCAAATGCCTATGTACTAGAGGATTAGTCCCAGGGTTGGCACTCTTGAGAGGGGGTGGAAACTTCAAGAGGTGGGGCCTGGGGACAGGTCTTCCTTTCATTGGGGTCTGCCCTTGAAGGGCTTATTAGGACCCAGCCCCTCCTCTTCCTCTCAATGGTTCCTGGCCATGAGGGGATGACTTTGCCCCTTCTCCTCCTCCTCACTTTCATGCCTTCCTGGTCATAGGCCCAAGACCTACTGGGCAACAGTGAAAACTGAGCTCAGATAAACTTTCTCTCTTTGTAAGTTGGTGATCTGAGGAAATTTGTGACAGTAGCTGAAAGCTTACTGATACACTCCTGGTTTCTTTGACAGCTTTCCTTAAATACCCTGTGCGTATCACAGGCATTGCCATGGCCAATTTGAATAAGATCTCCTTTTCTCTACTTTCAGATGCCTCTAGTTCCTTTCCATCACAAATCCTCTGTAGTGTCCCCCCAGAATGGTTTGAGGAGAGGAACAACTTTCATAGCCCCAGTAGCACCCATGGTTAGTTTCTGAAAATGAAGTCCACACTGCTGGGACAGTGGCAGTATAGATGGTGCAGAGAAGAGGGGAGAATATGCAGGAGGGGTGGGGAGGAACGTGGAGGGGCAGAAGGTCTACTGAAATTAATTAACTGTTACTTATTCTCAGATAACCTGGTCTAAGGGTAATACGGGAGTCCTTTAAAGAAAATTAAGAGATGGGGGGGGGGTTTAATCTGGATATTTTCAACATTTAGTTAGGAAAGCATCCTAGAACACCTTAACCTTTTCTAGCACCATTATCCAATTTCTTTAAGGTATCAGTGAGCTAGGAAGAGGGGTTGGTACACCTGATAAGTAACCATGGAAACAAGTGTGGCTTGCCCTAGGTCATATAGCAACTCCCTGGAGAACTGAGACTGGTTCCCAGGGATTCTCCCTTTCCTTCCCTCTTGCATTAATGCATTGGAAACCCCCCATGTGGCAAGCCCTCTATCAGTAGAGGGGCCATGTACTGAACATAAGAGATGGAGACATTTCTTTCTTGGAGATTTTATTTTACAGGAACATACCCAAAAAACAAACAAAACAAAACAAAAACAAAAACAACGTATCTGCAAAGTTGTAGTAGGTGCCATGTGATGTATTCATATAGACCCAAGTTAGAAAATCATAGTGGTGGGAGTGAGGGATGCTCTAGATAGGACAGTCATGAAATGATCCTTTTTTTTTTTTTCCCCCATTGGAAAGCTCTCAGACTGCATTTTTCCCTCACCCTCACAAAGGAAGGGAGAGAAGAACAGTCATTAATGACAAAAGGCAGTTGCAGTAAAGCAACACCAAGATCTGGCTTCACCCTCAGGAAGGAACTCTGGGCCTCTTCCTCATAGTTTCCAGTACTGGCTACAATGGTGTGTCTTTCCTGGTCACATGTCCTGCAATAGGGCTAACCGGGACCCCACAAACCTGACTGTCCCTTCTATTACCACTCTTGGGCTGGAGCCTGACCCTGATCTGAACATAGCAGCCCTTAGATCCACTGCCCTTATTCTAGGGTCTGTGTCAGGAAGAGGCCCTTTGACCCCTGGCCTCTTCTGGACGGCCATAATTCTTGGATATGTCTCTAGGAGACACCCAGTCTGTCCCTGTCCCCTTGCATCCAGAGTCACAATCCCAGCAGATCCTTTTACACTGTGGCCAGTGACATTCCAGTGACCTATGCCCTCCTCTACCATCTTCTGCACAGACAAACCAATGTGTGTCCCCAGACACCTGAATTATTGCAGATGGTTTGGGACCAGGTGGCTGTGGGAGCTTTCTGGAGAAAGATTTGTAATGATCCAGTCCAGCTGTGCTAGGGCAGTGGGATAGTTTGCTGAGATCCCAGGGAACATTCCCTGAAATGGAGTGTGATGCCCAGGATGTTGGAAACCTCTTTCAGGAAAGTTCCCTTGGCAAGAGGCAAGACTCACAACACCTCTGTCTTTCATGGTGCATTGCCCAGTGAATGCGGCCTGGAAGAGCACAGTGCTGGATTCCACACCAGACAGGGGGAGGGGGTTATAGGTTAGGTTAGAAGCAGTGACATCATAGCATACTTTGCCCCATCATAGGGCCTACATCCCAGGCAGTTTTGTGAATGTCTGAGAAAGCAATTTGTTTGGATAGCACCATTTTTCTATTGTTTCCAGTGCTAGAGAAAGATTATATATATGTATATGTATGTGTGTGTGTCTCTGTGAGTGTGTGTATGGAGAGAGAGAGAGAGAGAGAGAGAGA